TTTGCCAATCCCTCTCTCTTTGGGGTCACTCACGGCCTCTAGCCCCTAGCTGTCCTCCCCCTGTAGCTGCCAGTAGGATCTTGGCCATCTCTTTGTTTGCTTTATGCGTCTCTCCTGCCTGAAATTTTCTGTCCTCTAACCTCATCCTTTCTAGCCTCTCCTCAGGCATCTCTCCCTCTATGCCACTTCTAGCAGGTCCCGCAGGGTTTTTTTTACTTAACCTGTCTATCTTTTGCACCCTATGCCTGATATCTGCGGCTGCCTGGTTGACAAAAGCCATCATAACGGCTGCCTTGCTTTCCTCTACAGAGGGATCTATAGGCGTGTACTGTCGACAGGCTTCCATAATCCTCTCTAGATAGGCTGCCGGCCTCCCTTCAGTTCCCTGCCAAACATCCCCTACCTTGGCCACATTGGTCAGCTTTCGTGCCGCTGCTCGGAGACCAGCCATTAGAGTCTGGTGGTAGACCCAGAGATGCTCCCTACCTTCAGCCTCATTGTAATCCCAGGAAGGTTGCTCTAGGGGAAAGGTCCGGTCATGGACCCTGGGGTTGATGGTGGTCCTCATGTCCTCTCCCGGAACCAGCTTTCGTGCCTCCCCCTGGATTCTCTTTCTCTTCAGTTGTGAAGAGGACCTTAAGCAACTGTTGGCAGTCGTCCAATGTGGGCTGGTGCATGAAAAGGACAGAATCTAAAAGGTTAATCAGGTCCCTCAGGTTTTTGGAAAAATTGGCATTCTGGTACTTCCAGTTGTAGAGGTCACTAGTGGAGAAGGGCCAATACTGGCATGCCTGCCCCCATCCACCCCAGGGGGTTCTGTCGCCTGCAGGAGTGCCTTTACAGGGTCTGGATCTGGGGTCCAGCCAGTGCCCGGTCCCGTAGGCTGGTCCCTCTGCTGGTGGTCCTGCGTTCTCCTGAGCTGCAGGAGCAGTAGGGGCTGCCCCAGGCTTATACGGTGGGGGCGTATTCCGTTCTAAATCTGTAAGGTCTGGATACAAATGGGAGTCAGGCAGAACCAGGCAGTGAGCCCATGGAGGGTTTCTGCCCACCTTCATTCTTCTCCTTAGCATTCCTAGCTACAAAAATCTTTTTCTTTTTTTTGAGACAGAGTCTCACTTTGTTGCCCAGGCTAGAGAGTGCCGTGGCGTCAGCCTCGTCACAGCAACCTCAATCTCCGGGCTCAGCGATCCTACTGGCCTTCAACTCCCAGTAGCTGGGCTACAGGCATGCACCACATGCCCAGATAATTTTTTGTATATATATTTTTAGTTGGTCAGTTAATTTATTTCTATTTTTGGTAGAGATGGGATCTCACTCAGGCTGGTTTCGAACTCCTGACCTTGAGCAATCCGCCTGCCTCGGCCTCTCAAAGTGCTAGGATTACAGGAGTGAGCCACCACGCCCGGCTAAAAATCTTTGCTTTTTCTCTGGGGCCGGGCAGGATCGTTTTTAGCCAGGGCAGCGGTTCCTGAAGCAAGTCCTGCCACACTATAATGTAAGGGATTTAGTCCGGATGGCCGTGATGGCCCAAAACTACTCCTTCACCTTTTCAATGAGTGAGGCATCAAATGACCCCTCCCGTGGCCACCCCACCCCAAAGGTCAGCCACTCCGCCTCACAGAGGGTGATGAATTTTCCTTTCTTGACCTCTAGCGAGAGGGCCCTTGCCTTTACATCCTTGAAATGGCCCACCAAGATGGACAGAGGCATTGAGAAAGTCTGGCCCATGTCTGTACAAGGGAAAACCTGGAAACAAAAAGGAGCGAGAATGTTAAGATACAGGCTTGGATGGTGTCCCAGGGGACTTCTTTTCACCAGCCGTCTTCTTTTCACCAGTCGTCCACCATTTCTTCTTGTTGCAAAATGGACAGGGACACTTAATCCCGCTCTGGTCCTCGTCTGGGTGTCCTAGGAGAGGGTCTCAGACCATTCAAGGAAGAGGGCTTAGAACGAGTTATGGTACACAGAAGACAACACACTGAGACACAAACAATGATTAATACACTAACCTAGTCCGGACTGCTTCCCCAACTCCCTTCTGACCGAGCCCCAGGCTCCTAGGTCAGCTGCAGGGAATTCCCGGGGCCAGAGGACGTCTCCTTCGGACCCCGACCGACGACCCACCAGCGCGTCCGCCTAGGTCTCTTGCCGGTCCTAACTATTCGGAGACTTCTGGCACTCCCTCTACTGACTCACCCTGTGCACTGAGGTAAGGGGAGGTCCCGGATGAGCCCCCAAATGTTCTGTCCGGATCCTGATACCCCAGAACAGAGAGCCAGTCACCCAATAATTTGGGTTACAATAGGGAGTTTATTGGGACTGGCTCGAGGTAGGGTCCAGGCCCCAGACCAGCACCAACACAGGGGCCTCTCAATGGACAAGGACCCCTCTGGTAAGGTTTCAGCACGGGTTTTATACTTTTAGTTGTTGTGCAACTCAGGTTACTGGTTACAAGTGATATCCCAAGCCCACCTGGCACCTACACACCCCACACAAGCTGTTCACACACTTCACACACTGACCATACTGGCCGTGTATTCTGATTGGTTGGCTAGGTTCCAGCACCTCATCAATTAGTGCCTTGTAGTATCTCCCCTGGGGTCTTGTGTTTTTTGTTTGTTTGTTTCTTTTATTTACTCTGCAGAAGCCCGTCATGGCTTCAGTCAGGCTAAGTGGCAACTAAGCAAGCGATATACAAAAGCCAAGGTACAGGGGCCAAGATGGCAGTTAGCTCGTGTCCCACACTTCGCTGATTTCTTCCCATCTGGATCAGTTGTTGCTTCTTTCCTTTAGGTTTTCGTTTGGGTATTGACACACCTTGTTTAGTCTCTGAGCTGGTAGGTGGTGTCTGGGGGTGAGATTCGACCACTTCCTGTATGAGTCAGTGGGTGCCATGAAAAGGCTGTGCAGGGTGTCCTCCCTGTCAGTAGGTGGCGCTTGCTTGGAGGAACAGGCTGCGCTGTTTTTGTGTCCTGTTATCAGCTCTTGTTCCTGTAGAGAGAACTCGAGTGCCTCAGGTGGTGGGTGGGGCCCTGGGACTTCCAGGTGTGTCCTTTTCTCCTCCACGGTGAAGGCTGGTCTAGGAGAGAGTCTAGGCGGAGCTGGGTTGGGTAAGCCTGCCCTCAGGCACCACCAATGCCGTTAGCAGGGGTCAAAGTTCTGTTCTCTGCTTCCAGGACAAGCTGTCAGGGAGGGGCTGGAATGGCCCCGCTCAGTCAGAGAGTCTGCGTGTGGGGTGGGGCTGTCTGAGACCCGCCGTCTGGAGCAGGCCTGGCTCCTTTCCACCCTCCCCAACTACGCAGCTACTCCTGGGCCTCCCCTGCTGTGATGTCGGCATGGAGGTTCCCTGCACAGGGACACCACCTGGGCTGGGCACATGGCCCCCCCTTTGGGATGAGGGCTGCCCTCTAGGACGCTGATCTGCCCCTGAAGGCACACACACCTCAGTAGGCTGTTCATGAATATCCCTTCTGTGCCCCGGCCAGGGGATCTGGTCTGCAGGTCTGACCTCTGGGCCCCAGAGTTCAATCTCTATCCCCATCAGGGAGAGGAGTGTCGGTCCCAAATCACCCTCGGGGAGCCCAAGCTGGGTCAATGTCTCTCAGCCTCAGGGTCTGCCCAGTTCTCCTGGGATCACCGGCCCGCAGCACCTGGGAGGGCTGGCAGGTAGGGAGCTCACCCTCTGAGTTCCCCTCAGTCAGCTGTAGGGCCGCAAAAGGGAAGGTCCTGTTCCCTGGAGCTGCCTCCGGCTGGGATAGGGACGGGGGAGGGGGAATGAGGCAGTATGGCGCCTGCCATGCTGCTGGAGTCTGTGCATAGGGAGGCGCCTACGGGAATTGGGAGCCTGGTGCCGCGTCCGCTACAGGCTTACCGCTCACTGGTGGTGGTCTCTGGGCTGGTGTCCGCTGGTTTCTCCACCCGCTGGGGAGCCCACTAGCAGTCCGAGATGCAAGGGAGGGGAAAGTTAACGGCTCCACCTACCCTTTGCCGCTCCTCTCCAGGCTCTATGTTGCTCATTTTAAAAATAAGCGATTACTGTACCTTTTTTATTTCAGCATATTATGGGGGTACAAATGTTTAGGTTACGTGTGTTGCCTTTCCCTCACTTTACCTTTTCTTGTTGAGTCACACACTGAGCTCAGGGCCTTGGTGGGAGAGGCTCTCTGGGCTGCCTGGGCCCACTCGGTACCGGGCCCACTTCTGTCTTCCAAGAACCTCCCACCTCCCTTTCTACTGTCTTTAATCGTTCTTGGTACTGACTCCTTCCCCTCGGCATTTAAACATGATCAAGTTCATTTCACCAGTGACAGGATGGAAAAAAATAGTGCGACACACACATATATATGAAATACTAGCTTTAGTTTTCTTAACCACTTCGGTACGAGCGTCGACTATCGTCGACAGCCACAGATGAACACGCACAGCCGAGCGTCAACTTTAGCTGACAGCAATGATGACTTTTCTAATTTTTCATTTATCAAAATGTGAACATTTAAAAATAACAATGAAAACATATGTATATGTTATCTATTCTGATTTATATTATAATTAAAGCTGCCTGTAAAGTAAAACAAGTGCTTTAAAGCTTTCCTCAAGAGCAAAACGGATTCGTTGTCAGTGCACAGCACAAACTACCGTGTGGACTGAGTGCCGGCTGTGGGCAAGGTGAGCGTGCCGTACCAAAGTGGTTAAACAAAGCACTTCACTGCGATGATTCTCATACTGGGCGATTTACCCATTTACAGTGTACAATTCAGTGGTTTTCAGTAAAAATGTTTACAGAGTTCACCCCATTTCCACAAGGAACTGCATCCTCAGGGCCAGGCACCCCACCCTGGCCCCGTGTACCGGCCTGCTCCGAACAAATGGAGTCACAAAGGTGTGGCCCCTGGGGCTGATGGGTTCAAGGGTCACCCAGGTAGCCCGTGTTGAGGCCCAAGTCAGTGGGGCTGTTTGTCTCATGAACAGAATATTGATAATTCCGGTTTGTTGCTTTCCAGTCAACCAGAGAAAACGGCCGAACCGGGAACCTGAGCACGAGCTACGCAGAGGCCGCATCTCCCGTTCTGCCGACTGCAGCCCGAGGTCTGTCCTCGCCTGGGAAAACGCAAGCAGTGAGTCAGCCTGTCAACACCACCCCCGCTTGTCACCTCACACACAGGTCCAGGCACAGCCGCAGGCGACGCGTCGGACTTCGGCTGCCCAACAGCAAGTTCAAGCGCTTCCCGCAGCAGCAGGTTGACTGTCCCACCGCAGACACAAGCCCCAGGTGTCAAACGCGGGACAGGCCCAGACCCGCAAGCCCAGCTGTGCCGGGCGGAGGGGGGAGTGCAGGCCCCAGAGCTGGGCGGGAGGCCTGCGGCCACCCCAGCTTCAGCCCATGTTCGGGGCGTGCTGTGTGCACAGCTTGCACAAAACCGAAGGCCTTTTGTATGAGAATGTTTCTATCCCCAGGAAGTTTGTAATCTCTAGTTAGTGTACTTTTTCCTGGTGCCCTCATGATCTGCACCTGTTCTCATGTTTCCTCAGCTTGCGGCTGGGCGGTCCCGGCTGATCTCAGTGCCAAGAATGTGTGTTTTCACATTATTTTACTGCAATGGATAATGTGTCCACGCAGAGAAACAAAGTCTTCTCCCGGTGCTCAATGCTTCCCATATGTAATTTCTATCATATTTGTGATGAAGCAACTTCTGTGAGTTTACAGTGAGGCAGCGGTCAAAGTAAAACGTTGACTACACAGCCGGCTTCTGTGGTTTGTGACGCCTCCCGGGGGTGATGACACAGGTCCAGAAAGGGTGTCTCTGTGTCACCTCAGGGAGCAGCCTGTGCCTGGCACAGCCACCGCACCCGGGAGGGCCTCAGAGAAGACGGTGACCGTGCCCACCCTGTTGCTGCAGGCCCAGTTCATGGCCGAAACGTGGCAGGTGCGGGTGTGTCCGGGCAGTGTGCACAACTTCAACGCTGTTCTCAGGGTGGGCTTCTGCAGCCTCAGGTTTAAAGGCAACAAGCCGTGAAGTCTCGGGCCTGGGCCGAGCTCCTGAGCCGACTTCCAGGCTCCGGTGGAGGAGCGTGGGCAAGGCTGTGTCCATGGCTGCGTGCGCAGAAGCCCTGAAGAATTCCCGTCTTTCTCACGCACGACATCCACTGCTTGGGGAAGGAGGCGAAGGCACTGGCCCCACGGCGGTCCCTCTGGTCCTCCAAGCCCCAGCCTAGGCCACCTTCTGCTTCCACTCTTCCTGGGGGAGGACGAGGGCTCAGCACCTCCCCTCACCAGCCTCACGCACCCGTCTCCACCCTTTCCTTCCTCCTCCCCGCGTGTCGTGATGACACCCTCCGCACAGCCCCGAGGCTTGAGACGGCCACCCTCACCTTGACCGTCCTCTCCAGCTGGGCCAAGGCCTCCTCGTAGCGAGGGACCAGCGGCTGCAGCAGCCTGCTGGGGAGCTCCCGCCGCTCCAGCGCGGGCACCCCGCCTTCTGTCAGCATCTGGCCAAACCTCCGCTCCTGAAGGGAAGCCACGTGTGGGAGGGGTCCCAGACACCCGCGGCACCCAGGCAGGAGCCCCACCTCTTGAGACCCTCTCGCCTCACCTGCACCTTGAGGAGCAGCGTGAAGGCTTGTCCGGCGTGCCCAGCCCGGGCCGTCCTCCCGACCCTGAAACCAACACGCCGTCTCCAGACAGCAGCCTCTGACTCCGGGGGCCCGACGGGGGCCCCTCTCCAGGCCGCCCCCCGCCTCCCCCCCCACAGGGCACAGGGCTCAGAGACACCTCAGACTCTTGCTACCCAAAGTGCAAAGGGCATCAGTTGCTCCTCCAACCCCCCCCCCCCCCCCCCCCCCCGCCTCCCCCCCCGGGCCACATGCAAGGTCCCACACAGGCAGCCCTCACCGGTGCACGTAGGTCCTCAGGTACTGGGGGGCGTCGTAGTTGACCACCAGCTCCACGCCCCGCACGTCAATGCCGCGGGCGGTAGCGTCCGTGCTGATGAGGCTGCGGACACACAGCACTGTGGGCACGCGCTAGGGGCGCCCACGCCAGCACCCGGCTCTGTGGGGTGGCTCTGGGCCTCTGGGAACAGGCTGCATGGCGCTGGGGGCGCAGGAGGCCCCTGTCCCGAAGGGCCGGGGACCCAGTGGATGCCTGGCGTGCAAGCCCCGCCCTAGAGCCCCGCGCCCCTCCCCGCACTCACAGCTGGATCTTCCCCTGTTCAAACTGCTTCAGGATGGCCCTCCTCTGCCCGGGCCCCAGGCGGGAGGAGAACTCGGCCACGTCCACGCCTCCGAACGCTCGCACCAGCAGGAAGAGCCTGCGCAGAAACACGGCTGCAGCCCAGTGGCGCCGGGGCAGACCCGGCGCAGCTGAGCCCCGGCCCTCACCTGTGCGAGTTCTCCCGGGAGTTGGTGAAGCAGAGGACCCTGGAGAAGCCCATCTTGAGGACCAGGTGCAGCACGAGCAGTGGCTTGGTGCGGAGGCGGCAGGGCACGTAGTGGTGCTGCAGGAGGCGCGGGGATTGGCGGGAGCCCAGGCGCCCGGGGGCCACCCTGCCCCGCGCGCACACGCCCCACTCACCGTGAGCCCCTCGGGGAAGGCGTACTTCCCTCCCGCTTCCCCCTCGGCGTCTTTGGGGCCCCCGTGAGCCGCACCCACGGAGAAAAGCCGGGGCTGGTGGAGGCCCAGCTGCTGCAGCTTTTCGGGGTTCTGGGTCAGAGTCGCGGAGAAGAGCAGCTTCTGCAGGGGCATCTGCGGACAGCAGGTGCTGGGAGAGGGGCGAGAGGAGCGCTGGAAGGAGCCGTCCATAGCCGTCTTGGGGAAGCTCCCAAGAAGGCTTCCCCACGCTGCCGGTGCACGGGGCAGCCCGCACCAGCCAGGGCGGGGCTCTGACGGGACAGAACTCGCCCCCGCCTCCTCCCAGGGCCGCGGGAAAGGAAAGCAGAGCAGTCTCTGCCCAGGGCCAGCAGCTCCCGAGCTCAGTGCTGGGTACCTGGCGGCCGTCTCGGCCTGGAGCTGCCTCCTCTGCAGCAGGGCGCAGGGCTCCCTGGGGCCCGCGCTCTGGAAGGCGGCGGCCACCACCCGGGGCAGCCAGGACTGGTGCATGCTGTCCACCATGCGGTCGGCCTCGTCCACGACCTGCGGCAGAAGCCCGGCAGTGGGTGGTGGGGAGGCTCCGGCCAAGGCCAGCCCTTTGCGTCCAGCCCAGGCTCCAGGAAGGGCACCTACCAGGAAGCGGAGCTGCTGGAGGCTGAATCCCGGGGTCTGGTCGATGTGGTCCACCAGGCGGCCAGGGGTGGCCACCACGATGTCGGCCAGGCAGCGATAGCCATCTGCCCTGTAAGCCACAGCGTGGTTCCACAGCAAGGTCGTCCTGGGGCCTCCTGACAGCAAGACGCCGCCTGCCTCGCCTCCCACGGCCGGCCCCCGCCCCCCCACTGGGGACCCGGCAGACGGCGCTGCCACAGGCTGCTCACAGGAGCCCAGCGCCACAGCACAGTGGCTGTTCCACTCGGGCTGCCTGCGCCTCAGGGCACCCAGGGCTGCAGCAGGAACCCTCCCCAAGAGCCCACTGCCCAACGGGACCTACGTCTTCTGCACGAGGCTCTCCTGCTCCTTGGCCAGAGTCTTCTGTCCCGTAACCAGGGCAACACGCAGAGGTGTGGTGTCTGTGTAGACGTTGAACACTTTGCTCACCTGCAGGAAGGCATCTGTCACTGGCCTGGGGGCATCCGTTGTCCCCCTCAGCCCAGTCTGGGTCCCAGGGGCGGAGCACACGCAGGCCCAGCGTGGCAGCTGAGGCCACGCTGACCTCCAGCGCGGGGTCACCTACCTGCTGGGCCAGCTCCTTGGTAGGCAGCACAACCAGGGCGCGGACGCGGCAGACCACTCGCCGCAGCAGGGCCTGCAGGGAGGCTGCCGCGTCAGCAGAGCCGGCTCCCGCCCACCGAGCCCCTGCCGTGGGTGGGGGGGCACACGCACCTGCACCACCGGGATGACGAAGGCCAGCGTCTTCCCGCTGCCCGTGGGGGCAGAGACGCAGAGGTCCCTGGGCCGGTAGCCGCCTCTGCCCACCAGAAACCCGCCGGCCGCGCTCTCCAGGAGGGCAGGGATCACGGCGGCCTGGACTGGACGAGAAGAGCAAGAGACAAGTCCCGCTGGTGCCAGGGCCAGCGACTTCCCTGGCTGTGGCCTCCGGCTGTGTCACTGGAGCCTGGGGGCCCCTCCCTCGAGGACAGCGCCAGGGCCAAGGATGCCGGACGCGGCAGGGGTTCCCGGACCACGGTCATGCCCCCCACCTGCCCAGGGCTGGGCACCTGGGAAGTAGGAGGAGATGCCCTGTGCCCGCAGCTGCCTCTGCAGGTCAGGGTGGACCTCGGGGATGTCCTCGATGGGCACGAGGCCTTCAGCGATGTCCTTTCTGACACGGCTCGGCTCAGCCAACCACGCTGGCAGAAAAGGCTGGACCTACACGACAGAGAACCCAGTGCGTGTGCCAGAGCCCTCAGGCGGGGACGCAGAGCACACGGCAGCGAGGAGACACGCTGAAGCCGCAGAGGCTGGAGAGAGACCCGCAGAGCCTCCTGCAGAGTCTCCATCTCCTCCTCGACACCCACCTCCACTCGGCCGTCAGAGAAGCTAAAACACACACAGCAGCGGGTGCCCCTCGCTGGGCAAAGCCAGATGGCGACCTCCCCCAGCACCTGCAGCAGTGACCATACCTCACCTCACCGCACCGCACCTGAGGCCCTCCGTGATCCAGCACTCACCTTCCCAGCCACGCCTACACACTGAGCTCCGCCTCCCGGACTGTGCCAGGCTCTGCCCCGCCCAGCACACAACCCCCCCAGGTGGTAGCCCTCTGGCTTCCTCCTCTTCGCATCCTGGCTCAGAGAAAACTTCCACACACACCCCCATCCCAGGGCAGCCGAAGTGGCTGCAAAACCTGCCTGTTCTCCTCACAGGAACCACCCTCCCCTCCCCCAGGTCTCTTCACCAAAACACACCCCCCCAGGGAAAGAGGCTGGTGCAATCTCCTGTGTTCCGTGAGATCACGAGCATACAGTCCCATCTATCGGCTCTTCCGTTTCTCTAACAGCAGTTATCCTAATAATTTTCACTATCTGAGAAGCCTCTGCTTCAAAACGAAAAGTTCTAATGGTGGAACTAACACCAACAAACCTAGAATGACTTCATGGCTGTCCACCATCTTACCATACCTGATAATGTGAAAGCATAATTAAGAAGTAATTGACCCCCTATAATCGGTTTCAAGCCAACCACATAACCATTATGACTTTCTCTATTCAATGTGTTAATAAAATTATTACATAACTTTGTCGAAGTTAATTTATAGGTTAAACTCCTGTATATCTTCATGGCGTGTCCAGTCCAATTAAAATTTCCAGACGCTGCTTCTCCCATTATGGAGGAACTCATATATTTCCACGACCATACTTTATTAATTGTATTTTTAATTAGCTCATTAGTCCTTTATATTATTTCCCTTATGCTTACCACGGAACTCACTCATACAAGCACCATAGACGCCCAAGAAGTAGAAACAGTATGAACAATTCTACCAGCGGTTATTTTAATTCTTATTGCCCTTCCATCACTACGTATTTTATATATAATAGATGAAATTACTACCCCCTCCCTAACTCTCAGAACCATAGGTCACCAATGATACTGAAGCTATAGATATATGGATTACCAAAACCTAAACTCTGACTCATAGTTCCTTCATCAGACCTCAAACCCGGAGAGCTCCATCTGCTCAAAGTTGACAATCGAGTAGTACTACCAACAGAAATATCCATTCGCATACTCATCTCTTCAGAAGACGTATTACATTCATGAACTGTACCATCTTTAGGTGTAAAAACAGATGCTATCCCAGGGCGCCTAAATCAAGCAACCCTAATGACTTCACGCCCAGGTATCTACTATGGTCAATGCTCAGAAATCTGTGGTGCAAATCACAGCTTTATACCAATTGTGCTAGAACTAGTTCCGCTAAAGCACTTTGAAGAGTGACTACTATCTTTATTGTAACACCACTGCGAAGCTAATTAGCGCTAACCTTTTAAGACTGAAAGTCTAAGCCTTTCCACAGTGAGATGCCACAACTAGATACATCAACATTATTTACTACAACCTTTTCTATTGTCCTAGCACTATTTTTCAACTGAAAGTTTCAAAGTTCAATTATCCCTTAAATCCAATATTAAAAACTGCTAATAAGCACCAACATATCAACCCTTGAGAAACAAAATATCGAAAACTTATTTGCCTCTCTCATTAACCCAACAATTGTAGGAATCCCTACTGTAATCTCTATTACAGTCCCTAGCATTCTTTCCCCTTCCCCCTCCTGTCTTACTGGCACCCTATTAGCCTCTCTATAACGATTAATCCAACCAGTACTAAAACAACTAATGGCAATATGCAACATCAAGGGGACCTGATCTCTTATACTTATTTCACTAACCCTATTTATTGGCGTCAACATTTGGCTAGGCTTTTCCTATATTCACCCCCCTACCCACAGCTGCTCATAACAGGTTGTGGGCCGGGCACGGTGGTTCACGCCTGTAATCCTAGCACTCTGGGAGGCTGAGGCATGTAGGTTGCTCAAGGTCAGGAGTTTGAAACCAGCCTGAGCAAGAGTGAGACTCCGTCTTTACTATAAAATAGAAAGAAATTAATTGGCCAACTAATATATATAGAAAAAACTAGCCGGCCCATGGTGGGCCGCATGCTGTAGCCCCAGCTACTCGGGAGGCTGAGGCAGCAGGATTGCTTGAGCCCAGGAGTTTGAGGTTGCTGTGAGCTAGGCTGACGCCACCGCACTCTCTCTAGCATGGGCAACAAAGCGAGACTCTGTCAGTAAAAACATAACACAACACATAACATGACACATAACACAACACATAACATAGCACAAAACATAACACAACAAAGCACAAAATAAAATAAAATAAGCAGGTGTGGCAATCCCTCTCTGAGCAGCCGCAGTTACCACAGGCTTCTCTCGTAAGACAAAAGCATCCCTGGCCCACTTCCTACCGCAGGGAGCGCCCATTCTTCTTATTCCCATACTAGCAGTTATCGAGACTCTGGGCCTCTTCCTTCAGACTATAGGGAGCTCCCTGAACGCACACAAGAAAGCCAATACTGGTGAGAGAAGAGGACGCGAAGAGCGAGTTTGACAGCGGGAGATGGAAACAGCGTCTGTACAGGAGCCACAGATTGTTAGGTTTGTTCCAGGTGGGAACCCGCAAAGTATGTGCAGGAGAAAACATGCTTAAAAGCAAAACTCAGGCTTGTAAAACAACAGCCGCAGGAGTCTGGGGAGTCCCTGAACTTTGCAGATCTAACAGCTGCCGCCAGCATTTCTTCCCTCCCTCCCTGAAGGAGATCAAGGCCGTCCCTGCCTAGCTCTCCTGATAAGGACGACGCCAGAGCAGGATGGATGTGACTGGGGCAGGGGCCTCGGGAGCTGGTTGTCTAAAAAAGCATTTATTGCAAGCAGCTGTTCTGGCCCAGTTACTCCCAGGAAAAACCCAAGGCTCTCGACCTTTTTCTCTAGTGGACGCTTTTTCGCCTCCACCCATTTGCACCCAGATGCCCCAAACAAACAGCATTCTGCTACACACGAGGCTTCGTGTGTCTCTCTGGGCTCCGAACCTAACAGAAATCCGCCCGCTCAACCCACGCTCCGCTTCCCGCCCAAGCCCGCCGCCCCCGCCGCCACGCGAGCCGCTCACCTTCGACCTCTTCATCCTCCCGAAGCCCCCCAGCACCAGGGCGGGGGCCGCGGGCTCGGCCGCCTCCTCCGCCGGCCGTCCGTCCGGAGCCGCCTCGGCGCGCCCGCCGCGCTCCCCGGGCGCCTCCTCGCCGCTCCCTGCGCGGAGCAAACCCGGGCCGGGTCGAGGCGTCAGCCCCCGGCGCCGGCGCTCCGGAGGGGAGCCCGGCCCACCCGCGCCCGCCCCGGCCCACCTGCGTCCGCGTGCTCGCCATCCGCCCTCCGCCGCTTCCCCCGCGGCGCCTCGGGGCTCCCCGGCGCCTCCGGGCTCCCGCGCCGCCGCCTCCGGGGCCGCCGCCGCCGCCTGCCCGACGCCTCAGAGGGCGCGTCCGCCTCAGAAGGCGCGGGCTGCCGCTGCTGCCGCTCGCGGGCCCGGGTCTGCAGCCGCTCCAGCAGCGCGCGGGCCCGCTCGCTCGCCCCGGTCTCTTCTTTCGCCGCCGCCGCCGCCTCCTCGGGGCCCGGGTACCGCGCGACGTGGAACAGCGCCATGGCCGGCCGCGCACGCCGTACCGGCTCGCGTGTGGGTACGATGTCGGCGGCGCGCGGCGGTGACGTCATGGGCGCGCGGAGATGGCGTCAGCGGCGCTCGGTGGTGACGTCACGGGCCGCGCGCCGGTCGTATCTCCCCGCGGCGGTGGCGGCATGGAGCGGGAGCCGGGGCCAGAGGGCGCGCGCCGGGCGCTGGGCCGCTGGCTGGAGGCGGTGCTGGCGAGCCGCGGCCAGGCCAACGCCGTGTTCGACATCCTGGACGTGCTGCAGGTGCCGGCGCGGGGCGCGGCCGGGTCCCGGGGAGGTTCGGAGACGGGGCCGGAGGGGCAGGCGTGTGAGGCCGCGCGGTCGTGGGGTGCGGTGGTGCAGGGGTGACAGCTCCCGGCGGGGCGCGCTGGCCCCGGCCTGTTCTCGCAGTCTGAGGACCAGGAGGAGATCCAGGAAGCGGTGCGCACATGCAGCCGTCTTTTTGGGGCCTTGCTGGAGCGCGGAGAGCTGTTTGTGGGCCCGCTGCCCTCTGAGGAGTCGGTCATGGCAGGTGAGCGCCCTGCAGGGGCCGGCGGCTGCTCCCTAGGCCCCGGCTCTCTGATCGCACAGTGGGTCGGGGGCAGGCTTTGTCACCATGGGGTGGGCACCCCAGAACCCTGTCTGCAGGCGTGCGGGTGGCGGGAGGGCACACCAGGTACCGTGAGATGGGGATGGTTCTCTTGGGGAAGAGGTGAGACAGGTACCCTGGAGCCAGGCTTAAGTGGACGCTGAAGGAGGCCTGACTTTCTCCTGTATGTAAGTTGGTGTCACTTGGTGCTGACACTAAGCATCACTGAAAACCTGAGCTTTGTGTCCCAATCTTTGGGACTTCCAGATCCTGGAGTAAAGAGAGGGCACAGGGTCCTAACCCTGGAAGCTTGGCTGGGGGCTGACCTGGGTCAGGGCCCAGGGAATTTGCTGGTCCCAACACCTGCCTGGAGGCCGTGGTGACCTGTCTCCAGCTATAGAGACTAAGTAGAAGGTGATTGGGGGGGGGTAGTCAGGACCTTGGGCAGCGCCAGGCCTGGCATATGTGGGCCTCAGTGTGGTCTGATGACCACCTTGACTTTGTTTGCAGGGTCCCAGGGAGCCGTGCGCAAGTACAAGGTGTGGCTGAGACACCGCTACCACAGCTGCTGCAACCGCTTGGCGGAGCTCCTGGCCCACTCCTCCTTTGAGGTCAAGGTGAGTGGGAGTCACGGAGCCGGCTTCATCTTTGTCCATCCCCTGCACCCTCCCCCCTCCCAGGCTGTCCACGCAGCAGAGGCCCGGGGCTGCGGGTGCACATACCTCCTTCACGCTCCTGTCTGGGTAAGAATGCTTCCTTCCTTTGGCTGGTTTCCTGGTGGGCAGCCTCGCTATCTCCTGACTTGCAGGAGCATCATGTGGTGGGGTTTCATGCCCATCCAGGAATGTGGCTGTCCCGTCCAGTGCCATCCCTGGCTAGGTGCGGAGGGAGAGCCAGAGCCAATGGCACTCAGCAGAGCCCACACAAGTTGGGAGTTGGGAGTTGGGAATGCCTTTTAGACAGGCGTTCGCACAACTCCACAAACATGGTAAAAAGATGCTAGCTTGTATGCTTTAAGTGGAAAATTACACAACATACAAATCATGTCCCAATGGAGCCCTTAAAGAAGTTGGCGACTGGAGCCTACAGCTGAATCCCAAGGGCCTTGTTGGCCAGACCCCAGGACGGGCTCCCTGGGAGTGGACAGGCCTCCCTGGCTGGGGCTGCTGTTTCAGTCTACAGTGTCACCCATTTGTGACCATGGGACCATGACTGCTGAGCCCTGAGGGTTTCTCACACTTGTGTTTTCACGACTGTCACCGAGGGTCAGAGAGACATTCTTGTGATACGGATGGATCTCCTGGTTTCGAGCAGCAGTCTGGCTGTGACGGATGGCCTCTGGTGTGGGGCTTGACGGGCGACAGCAGCCTGCCCGGACCCAGGCGGCCTCGTGACACGGTTGTGGCCTGTATGTGCTCAGCCCACACCTCACCAACTTGAAACCTCCTTATCGTCTTGCCTGTCTCGGCAGTGGACGTGGAGGCCTAGAGAGCGGCCCGAGCAGGGGAAGGCAGGGTCCCCTCTCTCTCTGTGCCTGTGGCCCAGCCCTGGCTGAGTGGGGCTCCCTGGCTGGGGTGAGCTCTGGGAACCATCTGTGGGGAGTATCTTGGCCACTCTACCCTCTGCTTCCCAGGAGCTGGCGCTCAGCACGCTCATGAAGTTTGTGAAGCTAGAAGGAATGCACCCCTTGGAGAAGCCCAAGTGGGAAGGCAACTACCTGTTCCCCCGCAAGCTCTTCAAGGTGAGGGCCTCGGTGGAGGCTGTCAACCTCATGGGGTGGAGGCCAGGGATGGGCCCTGGTGTGGGCTGGCTGAGCAGGCGGGTGCTGGATGGGACGCTTCTGGCTGCCCCTCCCTGTAGGAGTGAGACTGGCTGCTGATCCATCGGTCGTGGGAAGCAGTCTGGCTGTGACAGTCGGTCTCTGGAGCGGGCTTGGCGGGGACAGCAGCCCGCCTGGACGCTGCTGGACTGCGCCTGGCAGGGGCAGAGGTGCTCACCCGTCTCTGCCCCCAGTTGGTGCTGGGCGGCCTGCTTTCGCCCGAGGAGGACCAGAGCCTGCTCCTCTCCCAGTTCCGGGAATACCTGGACTACGATGACATCCGCTACCACACCATGCGGGCAGCTGCGGACGCCTTGGCCCGGGTCACCGACCGGCACCCTGAGGTGAGTGGCCCTGTCCCACCTTCTTTCTGCAGGGGAGGGGGGCGGCAGCCGGATGCTCAGGCCAGGCTCCCGGCAGGTGTCCCTCACCTTCTGGAACAACGCCTTCACGCTGCTGTCCTCCGTGAGCCTGCCCCGCCAGGAGCGCAAGCTCTCCCACTTGTACGTGCCGTGCTCAGGTGAGTGTCCCGCGGGAGGGATGAGAGCGGGCCGGGCCACCAGCCTCCCTCCTCGTGCTGGGTGACCCCGGCCCCTGCGTCCTTGCAGGGCCGTCGGACAAGTGGAAAGTCGTCCACCTGAGGGTGAGTCACTCTGGGGGGTGGGCAGCCTTCCGGGGCGCGGCCTCTCCCCTCTGGACGGGCATGGCCCACGGACGTCCACACGTGTGGGACCCTCAGGCCTGCCCACCGTCCCCCGCTTTGCCAGAGAAAGCTCCCAGGAGGGAGGTGCCAACCGGCAAGGCCGCCAGGGCCACTCACGGGCAAGCGTGGAGGAGATGCGGTCAAGGCCACTCACAGGCCTCTCGGCCACGCCGTTTTCGTGGACCATGTTAGACATGGTGCGCGCTCCACCATTCTGTGCCCGCGGGGAACGTTTACCCCCTCCCCTCCTCTCTCGGGGTTTCTCTCCTGGCGTTTCTGAGACCTAGAGCTTCAGGGCCCCGTGTGGGGTTCTCAGGTTCCAGGGACTCGAGCAGCTTCCGACTTAGGCAGGGACAGGCCGGCAGAGGCGGGAGTGGCGTGTGCTGGTTGTCAGGGCTGGGGGCTCCGGGGCTGAGCGCGGCGGGGCGGGGGGGGGAGGGCAGCCATGCAGCCTGGCCCCGTTGCAGGAGCACAGGAAGGTTTTCCAGGCCATGTGGCTCAGCTTCCTCAAGCACAAGGTAGGGGAACTGGGGGACGTCCCTCCTGGTCTCCCTGGGGTTGGGGGACATACCCCGGTCTTCCTGGGAGGGGTGGCGCATCCTGGTCTTCCGGAAGGCAGGGGATGTTCGGGTCGTCCCAGGGTAGGGGTCCCAGACTTCCCGGGGGCTGCGTGCTGACCGCCTGCGGCCCCGCAGCTGCCCCTGAGCCTCTACAAGAAGGTGCTGGTGATCGTGCACGACTCCATCCTGCCGCACCTGGCGCAACCCACCCTCCTGATAGACTTCCTCAGCAGCGCCTACGACCTCGGTGAGCCGTTCCTCTCCCTCTCGCGGTGGCCGAGCCGGTGTGGGCAGGGGGGACACCCGGGGACTCGTGCTGGGGGCCAGGGTGGGCGCAGGGAGGCGGCTCCACAACCACGTGTCATTGCAGGGGGCGCCGTCAGCCTCTTAGCCCTGAACGGCCTATTCGTCCTGATCCACAAGCACAACCTGTGAGTCCCCTGAGCGCGCAGGTCTCCCCGACGCGCCCAGCCCAGCCCCCCCCAGGCTGGGTCCCCTCTCCCGAGTGGGTCAGGTTTTGGGGGGCCCTGCTCTGTCCTGGCACACTGTGACCGCCGCCCTCTCCCCAGGGAGTACCCCGACTTCTACCGGAAGCTCTATGGCCTCCTGGACCCGTCCGTCTTCCATGTCAAGTATCGAGCCCGGTTCTTCCACCTGGCCGACCTCTTCCTGTCGTCCTCGTGAGTGCCGGGGAGTACCCTGACCCCGGCCCAGCGCTGCTGGGGTCCCCGGCTGCCCAGAGCGGGGTGCAGGGACACAGCTGGGTGCCTGAGCCTGCCCGTGCCTGGGGCTGCAGCCTGGGCCTGGGCCAGGGCAGGGCTGGGGTCGGCACACCCCGGAATCTCACACTCACACCCTGCCGCTCCGCCCAGCCATCTCCCTGCCTACCTGGTGGCCGCCTTCGCCAAGCGCCTGGCCCGCCTGGCCCTGACGGCGCCTCCCGAGGCCCTGCTCATGGTCCTGCCCTTCATCTGCAACCTGCTTCGCAGACACCCCGCCTGCCGCGTCCTCGTGCACCGCCCTGGGGGCCCTGGTGAGCGCCGGGGAGGGCCGGGCCCGAGTGGGGTGGGGCGCCTGGCGCAGGCCCTGCCCGGGTCCTGTGGCCCCAGGACGGCAGATGAGGGACGACGTCTTGTCTCGTTCCCAGAGCTGGACGCTGACCCCTTCGACCCCGCAGAGGACGACCCCGCCAAGAGCCGGGCCCTGGAGAGCTGCCTGTGGGAGCTGCAGGTGAGGCCACCTTGCCCGGCCCTGCCCCACCCCCCCCCCCCCCCAGCCACCCGTGTCCGCCCACCTGCCCAGCCAGCCACCGCCCAGCCCCTCCCAGAACACCCACCTGCCCGCCTCCCTGCGTGGACCCGGCCCCTGCTGCCTGGTCACCTGGGGGAGCCCTTACCTGCCTGGAACCACTCCTGTCCCTCACGTGGCTGCGTGGACGGTTGGCTGCACTCAGCCCTGCGGATCTGTCTGTGGTCGGCAGCTCAGAGGCCCCAGACAGGGAGGTCACGCTCTGGGCACCGGGCAGGGCTGCGGTGGCGCCGTGCCCCGCCGATGGCTCCCTCCTGCCCTCCCAGGCCCTCCAGCGCCACTACCACCCTGAGGTGTCCAGAGCCGCCAGCGTCATCAACCAGGCGCTGTCCGTCCCCGAGGTCAGCATCGCGCCGCTCCTGGAGCTCACGGCGTACGAGGTGAGGGGTGGGGCGCAGGGCTGTTGGGGCGCAGGGGTTGGGCCCCAGGTCTGCCGAGCGCAGCCTGAGGGTCGCCGTCCGTCCTCGCAGCTCTTCGAGCAGGACCTGAGGAAGACGGGGCCCCAGCCGGTGCCGCTGGAGTTCCTCCCGGCGCAGGGCCTGCTAGGCCGGCGGGATGGCCTCTGCGCCCAGCTCTTCACGCTCAGCTGACCCGCCCCACCCTGCGCCCCCAATAAATGGTTTTGTAGGACAGTGGCTCTGGGCGGTGCGGCCTGGGCGGCCCCTCACGCCCACCAGACCTGGCTGGCGACGGTGCCCTGCGGGGTCCTCTGCTGCCTTCTCTGCGGCCTTGGCCCGGGCTCCAGGCAGACGGGCGCAGGTGCTGGGCCAGCCGCCTCCGGCGCCCCTGGGCCACACCCCGGCATCCTCACCTGCGCAGTCAGACCTGGGGGACCCAAGGGGACCCTGCCCCGTCAGTCATGGCGGGAGCCATGGGGGGGCGGGTGTGTGGTGGGATTGGCGTTACGTGAGTGCGTTTACGTGAGTGCGTGCGCAGTGGCTGAGTGCGAGCAGTGTGTGTGTGGGATGTGAGTGTGGGGGGGGGGGGGGGGGGGTGAGCACCAGGACCCTCCCTGGCAGTGCTCTGCTGGCCCTGCCTGTTCCCGGAACCACCGAGCCCCCGGGGCTGGGAGGCCTTGAGCAGAGGCCCAGGGCCAAGCGTCTGCCCAACAAGTCCCACTTCGGAGCCACCATGAGCTCCAGGCAGCTGGGAGGTAACAGCCTTGTTTGGTTTCTAACGTGTTTATTTTACGGGGTCCCATTCGTGCCAGCTGAGCCTGCTACTCCACCTGCAGTAGGGACCCGGGTTTCCTTCTAAAAACCTGCCTGTTCAAGGACAGAAAAGTCAGTGGCAGCAGCACCCATGGACTGTGCCCCTCTGGGCGGCAGGACACTGCTGCCCCTGCTCCACGTTGCAGCTACTTTGGTCTCAAGGGACCTGCTCTGTCGGCTGTGGGACCCACGTGTGCTCTGCGGGGGCTTCTGGGAGCAAGTGGTGGTGGGGATGGAGGTGCCCCTGCCCCATGAGGTGTGGGGACGGAGGTGCCCCTGCCCCGTGAGGTGTGGGGACGGGAGCCAGCCCTGCTGCCCAGCTGGCGCTTCCTCTTCCCTCCAGTCTGCGCTGTGCTGGCGCCTGCCCCAGGGCCTTTGCACCGCCACACCCTCTGCCTCTGCAGCTCCTCCCTGCATTGCCCCATCATTACGGCCCCAGTTTGAACTTGGCCTCGGGAGGCCTGCTCTGGGCGCCCGGTTCAGTCGTGCACATGCACACGCACATACCTGTGGTTCCCCTTCATAGCGCTTGTCATGCTGTGCCACATCTGCCCCCACGAGCACGCGGGCTACCTGCAGGCAGGCGCAGGGCTCTTGCGTGGTCCTGTGTGCTCAGCTTCCTGCCACACCTGAGTATCCCCGGGAGGCTCGGGGCAGCCCGAGGGGCAGGGCAGGGCCAGGAGGGCCGGTGTCAGAGCACACTCGGCCACCAGAGGCCGCTGCAGCCCCGCCTGCGCCTCAGACTTGGGGACTGCAGGGCACCGTGCCGGCCAGGGCCAGGGACCAGGCTGTCATAAGAGCTGTCAGTAAGAAAAAATAAGTTTACGGATCACAAAGTATGGACGTGAAGTTGCCGGTGCACAGGCGCCCTCGCCCACAGGCGTCCACATCTTGTGCCCTCCACGGATCTCACGTGGCGCAGACCTACGGGCCCTTGCTGCAGCCCCCAGGAGACCCTCGGCCCAGGGCCGGCGAGGGCAGTGGCGGCGGGTGGGTGCCCGGCTGGTGGCAGAGCCTCTCCCGGGAGGCTGAGCGGGCACGGGGAGGTCACGCTGCCTGGTGGGCAGGGCGGATGTAAAACTCGCGCTTACCGTCAGCAGCGGCATTTCCTGGAGCAATTACTGTTTCTGGGCAGCGACAGGAGATTCAATTACGGGCCGCGCAGGACGGACCTGGGCCCAGGCAGCAGGTGGAATGGCCGTCGGGCTGGAGGCCTCCGCGCTGGCCAGGCAGCTTGCGCACTGCCTGGAACCCTGGAGCAGGAGGGAGTGGCTGGCAGGGCAGGTCCCGCAGCGCCACCGGGCTTCCTCCTCCCACTCGTGGACGTCCCTGGGGTGAGACCAACCCCTCCCCCACTGCAGCAGGTGACAGGCGAGGAGCGAGTGTCCACCGTCGCAGCCACACCAGGTGGTGAACAGCTCAGTCCGCCGCGGTCCCCAACCACAGGACAACAACTTGGGGTGTCCAGGCACACAGACCAGAGGGGAGACCTTGGGACCCAGGTCTGGGGAGCCCTGGGGCAACTAGGCCAGGACAGGGGACACTGCCTGGCTCCCAGTGCAGAGGACCAGCCCCACCAGGTCGCAGCCCCAGGCCACCCGCCTGCCCCACCCACCCAGCTCCCCTGGGACCCCCGCGGTGACGAGAGGTGGCCTCCAGCAAAGGGGTGGGCAGTGCAACAGGCAAGGTGTGGAGTCGGGGAAACCGAGGACATTCACTGCAGGGGACTCCCCAAGGAGTGGCTTGGACAAGCCCGTCGCCCCTGTCCCATGGGGCACTAGGTGCACACACAGTGTGAGGCATCTGGGCACAGGCCGCCGTCCCCACGTCCCAGGCCGGGCTCCTGCGACCGTCGGTCAGGGCCGGTTTCTGCCTCCCGCTCCCACTGCGGCTCCCCCACGCGCCCGTCCCCCACGCGCCGCCTCCTGAACCCGCACGGCCCAGCTGCAGCGACACCGCCTGCCAGGGTGGAGGGTGGGGGTGCCCCGGGCCGTAGGCCGGTTCCGTGTTGGCTGCCCCTGCTAGGAACCACAGGAAGCCGCCTGAGCCCGGCCGAGCACGTGCAGACACTCAGGCTCCATGACTGCCCCACCCGCAGCAGCGGACGAGGGAGGGGCCTGGGAACCCCCCACCAGCCCTGGGGGGGGATCCGCGCCCCTGAGCAGGTGTTCCTGGGACAGGAGTTCCCCCACCGCCCTTCCCACGAGTCCTTGCTGAAGTTACTTCTCTCCGCCCGGCAGCTTTTACTCTCCCACAGCCAGGCCTGTGCGGGGGCAGAGCATGGGCAGCCTGGAGAACACGCGCCAGCCCCGCACGGTGGCAGCTGCTTCCAGGAAAGCATCGCCTTGGTCCGGGACCCCGTCTTCCCCAGCCCATTTTCAACCCACTGCGGAATCTGGGGGTCCGGGCATCACATCCTCCAGGCTCTGGGGGCCCCAGCAAACCCCGCCCGGCTCAGGACGCTGGTGGGAGGCCCCGGCTTTCCTGGGAAAGCACCCCCACGTGGAAGCAAAGCTGCCCAGGGGGTCTTGTTTCCCGGGGACCCAGGTGACGCCAGGAAACAGCAGCCCCAGGGCTGGTGCAGAGTGGGGAAGCTGGGGGATCATTGGGGGCCTGTGACCGGCTTCCGGCCCTGGGCACGGCGGGGTCGGCAGCCTCAGGGTGATTAGGAAGACCCCCCTCTAGCACCTGGTGCATCAGCCACCCGAGACCCCACCCCTCGGACCGCCCCGACTTAGTAAAAGTGGGAAAAGGCGGGTAGACGAGGCTCAGAATTTGGTGGCGAGACCCCTCTGAGCCCACCGGCGAGTAAACCTTGATTCTCCAACTCTCCGAGTGCCGCCCAGTTTGTCCTCGGAAGCACCCGCCGTCACACTCGCCGTAACGGGGGGCAGCTGGGAGGTGACCCCTGCCCTCGGGAACGGGGGCAGGGAGCCACGACCAGCCAGTCTTTCCCCGCGGTTGGTACACAGTAGGTGCTAACTCGGTGCTTGCCACCTGACCCTGCCTTGCTCCCAGCTGTGCCTGATCAGGGACTTTGGGCAGGAGCAGCTGGTTCCTGAGCGCCCAGCCCGTGGCTGCCCGAGTCCCGGCCCTGGACGCACGGTGGTCCCGGCACGCCCAGGGATGGTGTTAGGGGTTATTCTGGACCCCAGGAGTGGGGGGGCAGGGGAAGTGGCTGTTCGTCCACACAGTGGGCCGAGCAGGAAGGCCCAGGCTGGTAGACGTGAGGACGAGGGCTGCTGGCTGGTGGCTCGGCGGGCTGTCAAGACGCTTCGCGCTTGGGCTGGGCTGGGCTGTTGCCGCCCACGCGAGTGAAGGGAGCTGTGCGCGCAGGTCACGCGGCGTGGAAGGGGGTCAGGGGTGGGCCGGCCTCTTTTCAACAGCCAGGGGCCGTGGGGACGCGCAGAGCGAGGGCTCAGCCACTTTCGCGAGGAGGGCGCCCAGCCGTGCAGGCCTGTCGGCCCACGGCTCTCGTCAGGGCCCCTCCAGCCTGGGGTCACGTTTTAACAGGAGGTTTGGGGACAAACAGCAAGCTGTGGCAGCACGTCACCATGGATGAGAGCCCGTGCGTGGCTAGGCCGCAGCGTGGGGCAGCCTGTGGTCACGCAGGGTCCAGACTAGCCGTGACCTCTGCCGGCCACAGCCCCGTGCTGACCACAGAACGGCGCCGGGCGGTTTCAGCAGCGCCGCCGTGTGGCCGCAAACCACCACAGCAGTGCCGGGGGGGGGGGGGGGGGGGCACTGACTACCATGTTTCCCCGAAAATAAGGCAGGGTCTTATATTTATCTTTCCTGAAGACAACACCCTAGGGCTTATTTTCAGGGGACGTGTTGTTTTCCCCTCAAAGCCTCAGCTCGCAGCACACACAGGAAGGCCGGGACCTGACGGGGGAGCCGACCTTGTTGGTGGGGCCGCCCGCACCTTTCCGGTCACCTCTGGGACAGTAGCTGTCACGATGGGGCAGACGAGAAGGGCTGCTCACCTTTCCCGCTCCGTGACGAAATGCACGGGTCGTGCAGACACACTGCGTGGCCTTGCCCGTCACTGGGGCTTATTTTGGGGGTGGGGCTTCTATTGCGCAAATGCTTAGAAATCCTGCTGGGGCTTGTTTTACGGGTAGGGCTTATTTTCGGGGAAACAGTACTCGGCTTCCATTCTCAGGTGTCTGGGGGGAGCTCTTTGGGCTGAATCCCCCCTGGGCCTCTCTGGCAGTTTACCTGGAGCAGGGCAGGTCTCGAGAGTGCGTGAACCCACTTACCCGCAGGGGAGTCTGACGGCAGTAACTGGAAAACCACGAAAGCTCCGCGAGCACAGGTCAGGACGCGAGGTTTTGTTACCTGTCGGCTGCTGCGGGCGGACGCAGAGCTTCAGGTCGGGACAGAGTGACGGCACCTGGACCTCACGCCCACCCCCAGACCCGCCCGTGAGCCCCTCCCACCCTCGAGTCCCGTGCTGGGCGGGGCGGCTGGCGAGGCGGGCAGAGGGGCTGGGGTTGCTTTGAGGGCCAGGGAGCCCACCACTGCCCCCAGAGGACGGGAGCCCCGTCCGGTTCTGAGAAGCGATTTTCTGGCTGTTGGGTTTTCCGTGAGAGCCCGTGTGGCTGCAGCCAGCCGGCTCTGCCCCCACTGCCGATTGTCGGTCTGCCTGACGCATCGTGGCACGGGCACGTTGTGGGCTCGAGCCCGCGACACCTCCTATTTGCAAGCTCCAGGCAGTGCACAAACTTCGCACGCCGACGGATGCCGCCCACCCCAACGTCGCCCAGGCAACCTCCGGATGCTCGAGCACCCCCAGGGCTGGTCCGAGCTCCACACTGACTTGGGGACCTCACTCACAGGCGCGTTTAGTTTCCATCCTCCTCCTAAATTTTTGGCACGTCCTGGACTAGAAAGAGCTTTTTCGAGACTGGGTTTGGGGCTGGTGGGATTCTCTCCCTGTTGGCCGCGGCCGGGCGCTGGGGGGCGGTCAGGTGAGGTCCGCAGGCCCCGATGGCCAACCCGCTGCAGGACGTCCTGAGGTTTGCTGTCCAGGTCACTCCCCGTGGATGGGGTCGTGGCCGTCACCCAGGGCCCACGATCTCCGCCCCAGGGCTCCAGGGAGGAGGGTCGGCCGACCGCCTGGCGTGGAAAGGGCTGGTTGGTTTGGTTTGGGGAGCTTGGCGTCTCTTCTGCCCAGGAAGCCAAGAGGGCTCCCGGGCCCCATGCCGTCTGGACAGCAGAAGCCACCGACTTCCGCAGGGGGTAGGGGACAGGGGTGAGCGTGGGTGCCCAGACCCTCACGGGCAGAGGGACAGAAGAGGCTCCTGCCAGCTGGATCCCCGAGACCCGTGTTGGCTCCTGCAGCAGCCACGGAGCGCCGGCCCTGACATGGGGGTTGGCGGGTCTCAGCGTGGGGGCCAAGGCCAGCAGCCCCCGACCCCCGGCTGAGTGAGGACACCCTCGGCCACCAGGACCAGCACTGCCGCCCTCGGGGGGTCAGTGGCCTTCAGTGCGGGGACTGAGAACAGAGCCAGGACGGGCCGCTCTGCCGTGGCGGGGATGCCATGAGGACGCGGCGCCCAAGGACGACTGTGCGGCGAATTTCTGGAGGAGGACCGTGTCCCGCACGGAGCCACAGGGCCCGATTTTGACCAATGTCCCTTCTACTCTCCTTCCTTTTAATGCAGAAACCCTGGATTTTAGCCGGACGCGCAGCTGCCCAATGAGAGGCCGCGGTTCCCAGCCTCCTTTGCAGCTCAGCGGCATGACGTCGCCTTCTGACCCACAGGACAAGAGCGGGAGTGATGTGGACGTGTCCCTGGTGGCCGGGACACGCCGAGGCCACCCTCCCGGACCACGGGAGCCAGGACACACCCCGAGGACTCTGCCCACAGCCCCAAAGCAGCAGCCACAGACAGCGCGCGAGCACATGGGCAGGGCCCTGTGCCCACAAAACTTTATTTATACAAACAGGAGGGGGCCAGGGGCGCGGTCTGCTGACTCCTGCCTCGGAGGATGGCGGGGCAACAGGAGGAAAGGCGCCTGGACCCGGCCGGGCAGCAGGACAGGGCCCAGCCCCACCTCCGCCGGCTCCGCGCCTGGGCAGGCAGACACGGCGTGTGGGCCGCGGACTCCGCTCTGTATTTGGTGTCTGTTGACGCGGTGAGTCTCCTAAACACACCGCGCGGGCTTTGTCTTTGGGACGCCCAGGCCGTGGGGGTCGCCCCGCCCCCCACCAGCCCCCGAGGCTGCGTCCCACTGGGACGTCCGACTTGGGCTGAGTGGCCGGCAGCATGGCCGGCGGGGGAGGCCGCGAGACGCGGGCGCTGGGCCTGGCTCCGACTGGCGGGTGGGTGCCCTCGGGGTGTATGCAGGGGCTGTAGCACATGCAGAAGACGTGGCCGCCGGAGCCTGGACCGCAGGCCCCGCAGAAAAGGCACGTGTTTCGGAGTCGGCCGGCTGCTGCCAGACCCCAGACCCCCCTCGGCAGAGCCTGTCGGGAGGGGCGAGCCCGGCCACGGCCTCTGCCGTCCGGGCCGCAGGACCTCGAGATGCTGCTAGGGTCCCAGGGCGGAGGAGCCAGCGGGTGCCAGCCCGGCCCCCAGCCAGGCCGGCTCGGTCCTCGAGGGTCTGCCTGGCGTGGGGGCCAGGCTGGGCCAGGCCGGCAGTCAGTGCCTCCCGTGCTTGATCCAGTTCCTGATCATCCACTTCTGCCCCGAGCACCTCTGCACCACCAGCCGCAGCCCAAAGTTGGCGTCCTTGGACATCTCCACCTCCAGGCACCGGCCCGTGTCTCGGCTCACAATGGGGCCGCTCTGCGGGGCCAGGGAAACTGAGTCATCTTGGGAGCCCGGGCGTCCCCTTTCCTGCAGAGGCATCCCCAAAAGTGCAGGGTGATCCCAGGCCCCAGCCCCGAAGGCTCAGGGTCTATCCTGGCCCCGTCCCATCTCTGCCCTGTGTCCGCCCCTCCAGCCCACCCCGCCAGCCGGGGTCCAAACAGGGCCAGGAAGACAAACTGCAGGGGCCCAGACAGGCCTCTTCCCCCAAGGTACCTCCCTCAGGTCCCTGGGTCACCTCTGCAGCCACCGGCCCTGGTGCGGGGACCCCAGGGGCAGAGCAGCAGGTTCTCGCACCGGCCCCGCCCAGCCCGGCCACAGGGTCTCCCCGACCACAGCGACAGGCCCTCCCTGCCGCCCCTCGAGTACGGGAGCCCTGAACCCCACGGCCGAGCACAGGTGCAGGCCTGACTGTCTATCACGGGCTCTGCCCACGGCGGGGGGATGATGGAGGCCATGTGGGGCCCAGGAGGGAAGGGGAGTGGGGGGACGGGCGGGTGAGCTCCTGGAAGACACTGGGAGGGGGGCTGGGGGGGCTGGGGGGGCTGGGTCAGGGTGGGACTTGATGGTCCACGAGGCAGCAGACCGCCAAGCGGTCTTGCGAGGCCGGGCTGTACGGGTCGGGCCGTGTGTCCCCAGAGGTGTCCGCGCCCTGACACCCTAACGGCCTACTTCCAAGGATGCGCTGGGACTGAGGGCGGGAAGCCCAGAGCCGCAGCCCAGGTGACGTGGTCAGGCGGGGCTCGGCGAGCCGGGCTCTGGGGGGCCAGGGCTGTCTCAGCTGACTTCAGCCAAGCTCCGAGGGTCTCCCGGCAGACCCGGTCAAAGTGTTTCCCACCCACCCACTGCCTCAGTCCTCCTCCCTCTCCCCCAGGGTCCGCGGATCTGGGCGGCTGAAGCGGAAGAGGCCGGAGTCAGGGGCAGCGGAGGCTGGAAGAGGAGGCCACAGGGCTGGTGACCAGGCTGACTGGCTCCGCCCCTCTTTAGCTGTGTGACCCTGGGCCAGTCACCTACCCTCTGAGGTGAGCACCGGGGCTCACAAGGAGCTGCTCACCCAGGACCCCACCCTCTATCCCGGAACTCCAGACCCCCCACCCTGCCCTCTCCCAGGTGTCAGGCCGCCTGGGCAGAGCCACCTGGGGGTCCCGGCCACCTGCTGACCTGCGTGAAGTCCCACAGCCGCTGCGTGGGCCGGGCCACATCCTCGCACTTCTTCAGGGCAGGCGTGCGGCCCCTGCCCTCGTCCACCAGACACCGGGAGTCGGGCAGGAAGGCCGTGGAGCCCAGCGGGCCCAGCTGCAGGAGGCCGTGGGCGCTGTACCGCACCAGCTGGGGCAGAAGGAGACCGTGAGGGCCAAGTCTGGGCCAGCGTGCCCGCCCAGGTCTCCCCACCGCCCTAGCGAGCACCACGGGGCACGGACAGGCTGCGTGCCCGCCCGGGTCTCCCCGCCGCCCTGGCGAGCACCACGGAGCACAGACAGGCTGCGTGCCCTCCCAGGTCTCTCCATTGCCCTGGCGAGCACCACGGGGCACAGACAGGCTGAGTGCCCGCCCGGGTCTCCCCACCGCCCTGGCGAGCACCACGGGGCACGGACAGGCTGCGTGCCCTCCCAGGTCTCTCCATTGCCCTGGCTAGCACCATGGGGCACAGACAGGCCAGCGTGCCCGCCCGGGTCTCCTTACTGCCCTGGCGAGCACCATGAGGCACAGACAGGCCGAGTGCCCGCCCGGTCTCCCCGCTGCCCTAGCGAGCACCACGGGGCACAGATAGGCCACATGGCCGTCCTGCACCCGCGGCACACATGGGTCCCGAGCGAGGCTGCCTTGGCACCTCCCACCTTGGGGATGCCGTGGGGGATGGGGCGATGGCCGGGCAGGGCCAGGCCTGGGGGCTGGGCTGGGCGGCCCTGAATGGAGGACACGGCGCCACCTGGGCCCTGCGATGCCAGTCCGGCCAGGACTCAGCTTCTGGAAGGTGGAGCTGGGGGGTTCCCGTCAGCCCCGCTGCCCTGGGGGTGGGGAGGCCCTGAGCTGCTCCCAGCC